CATTTCAATGAAACTTAGTACAAAGATGCTCTAGGACAATGTACAAACTAATTAGTTGGGGTAAAAATCTGTTCATATTAATTCCCTAATAAGCATAATAATTCATAATTTTTTGGTTCTAATCACATTTCAATTAAACTTGGAGACATAGATTTTCTGTTACATTGCGCAGACTCATTAGTTTTACACTCAAATCTGGTCATATTAATTTTCTGATTTGCATAATTAGTTTTCAGCTAAGTAATTTCGAATTGTATTTAATGTGTCTCCAATACTCTCAGCACATGGGAGTTCTTTCTAAGCTTTCTTTGATTAAACTTGATATTTTTGGGCAGATTATTTTCATTTTGTAAAAAAAGATATTTTTGACAGTTAACATGATTACTATGATACATGTATACATATACAGTTTGTATCAGGCTGAATTGGGGCTGACTTTTGCACACATTTATTCATTTTCTAATATTTTGATCAAATTTCTCTCAGACTATGCCTCACAGCAGGTTGCTTGTTTATTGATTCAGCATAGAGTAAATGCTATATATAATTATGATGTACTACTATTGAATATGTGCCTTTAGTATGGTGATATTTGTTTAATAAATCAATTCATGACAATGTTTTTTGATTTGCAGGAAGGTGGATTTAAACTGCGAAGAGTATTGAGTACAGCTGATCAGGACAGCACTACAACATTGGCAGGTATGGTGTCAGTTTATCAATGCATTCTTTTGTCTTCATTTTGGTCTGTCCATCTGCCTTAAGGATGTGGTAGAGTTATCATGCTCTAAAAAGTAAAAACTGTTTTCATGAGGAAAAGTGTTTTGAAGCATAGCAAATTATATATTTTCTTGAAGCCCTTGTTCCTGGCTTTTTGAAAAATATGATCTGCGACATGTACCACGAATTAGTCACGTGATTACTAAGTAAACATAGAGGTATTATTTTGAATAAAAATGAGTTTTGTATAAAAACCGTAGGGGTTTTGTAAAAAACGAAAGCTGAAAAATCAAAGCAGCATCAGCCCCGTCAATGTCTCAAGAGTGTTAGAACATAGATTGCATATTTGTTTACAATGACATCAATTTACATTTTTCCTGTTATTTCACCCATAGACAAGGAATTTAAAAGCTTTTTATTTTTCATTGCGAGGAGTTATCAAAAAATGCTTCAAGGGTTTTATTCTGCGCCAATACGTTATCAATGTGTGTGAATTT